GCTCCAAAGGCGCTCAGTTCAGTCCTTTCCCACAGGCTCCTGGGCCCCGCTCACACAGCTACTCCCTCCACCAGGGACCAGGTGAGTGCTCACCAGCTAGTGAGTCCATGTGCCAACTCCACTGGTTCTCTAGCCACCCTCAGCCTTACCGAATTGAGCAAAGAGAGTCCTCACAAATTTCTACTGCCAGCTATCATGGAACTCCTCTTCCCAGCAATGTAACTCTGGGCTGGTGAGGTCAGTGTGGGGCTGGAGGGTCTCTCCCCCAACTGGAGAAGCCTCCCCACCACTGAGGTGTCCCTCATGGGGTTGGCCCTCTCTCGTCTCCACCTTTCCTACCAGACTCGACGTGGCCTCCTCTTTAAGTCCTTCATTTAGAGGTTCTGTTCATCTATTGTTCAGGGGAATTCTGAGGTTGAATAATGTATAAATTATTTGTAATTTTGGTGTGATACTGGGAGGCAGTTACACAGCGTCTGTCTATTCTGCCATCTTACCAGAAGTCCTGTTTTTGCTGTTTTCGATGAGAGCCAAAGTCCTAATTTTTCTGCAGAATGTATGTATTTTCTTACATTAGACAAGCATCTATTTGGACATGTCAAATTGACAATTTTCTTAAACTCTATAGGGTGTTTCACAGATGTCTCTACTCTAGTCTTGACTCAAGTCTTGACTAGAAAAAGAACAAATTTCAAGCTCACTCGCTCACTCACGTGGCTTTGCAGGATTCAGATCCTCATGGGCAGTTGGCCATAGGTGTCTCTCAGTTTCTTGCCATGTGAGCTTTTCCACTGGACAGCTAACAACATGGCAGCTATTTTCCATCAGAGTGAGCTGGGAGAGAATAGAAGAGGACCGGTAGTTGAAAGCCTAAGCCTATTTACACATTAATGTTGGAGTGACATCTCAATATTTTTCAATATTTTGTTCATTGCATATAGTCACAAGGTGCAGCCAACATGGAGATGGGTATATACAAGAGCATGTATACAGAAGGCAGGGGATATTGGGAGCATCTTAGAGTCTGTCCACCAGAAAGGCCTCAACCTCCATCAGGAGTTTGGGCTCTAAGGAAAACAAAACACTAGAGATGTCTCACTGCTTTCCAGCATAGTCCCCAACCCTTCATATCACCATCTTCTCAATAACAAGCAAAAACTTTGCTAGAGGAGAACTGCCACATGAAAGAACTTGCCCTTTTTTAGGTATTTCTGCAGACCCCACCATGCTGCTCCTGACCATGTCATGAAAAGAAGTCTCCATGGTTTCTCTTATACCAACAGAGTCCTTTCCTCTTTGCCAGGAGAAGTCACAGTTATTTCAGGACAAATTCAGCAAGTGTCTCTAGAGGCTTCTGTATTCTGCTCAACTAGTAAGGGTTTATCTCTCTCCAAATATATTTTTTATAAACTTTTATTTTAACTCTTGAAGTCTTTCAAACTATGATTTTGGCTTATATAGTGAGATAAAGTATGATGTATGGGAATCATGATTTGCAACCACCTCTGTATCTAATCTTTGTAGTCCTCCTGGCTCAGATCTCTCTGAATGAGGAACTCAGAGAAATCATTAACTGATAATGAACAAAACTTGAATATTTACACAGTTAAGTTGGATATGGGATAAGGTATGTTAATTATGTGTGTGTGCATAAATGGCAGAGGAAAATGACAGGAGTATAAAGAATTGGAGAAGGAGGTTTGAGTGTTGAGACATTTTAGAATGCTTAGACAGGAGGAAAAATTTTATATTAAACTGAGCCAATGAGATACTATGTTCATTGTTAGTGAAGTTGGTCGGTGATTTAGCTTAGTGGTAAAAGGCAGAGTAAATTAAACCAGTTATTGGACAGCTCTTCAGAAAGCCCAGACTGCTACCTCAGAAACTATGTATACTAACTCTGAAGGAAAGATTGATATGTACATAGGTATCTGTGCATGTAGTAAAAAACAGAAGAAGGCCAAAGACAGATTGAACAGAAGGAAGAATGGTTACAAAGTGAAATCCTATGGAGGCAGTTAAGTGAAAGGAAAGATTTCTCCTTTGCTGAGGATATGGTCCTTTGCTATTCCTGAGTAATTAACATGAAGATAGAACTAAATTTATCCATAATAAATGGATATTTATTGGGTGGCTTAGTGATCTACAGGCACAATTAAGATCACACAGCTGCTGGAAATATCATACCACTACTTTAAACCTCAATTGTATAACCTTGACTAGGATATATCATTATAATTGAGACAGGATAAATAGGCTAGAAAATTGACAACCCACTCCAGGGTACAGCATGAGGTGCCTCACTGGTTATACAAGTGACAAGTGAATATATCCAGCACCTGCAGCTGGAGAAAAACAAGAACCGGTTTCTTCCAGCTAGGCTGATCCCTATGAATGGGCCCTGATCTTTAGCTAATTGTGCTTACTACTATGACTTCCATCCTGCATCTGACACCATGATAGTTCCAGAGGAACCGAATAAGGAAGAAAATGTCAGATAAGGAGGGTCCTGCCCAGAGGGAGGAAATGAATGAACCATGCCAATGAGACATCACCAATTCCCACCCTGGGAGAAATAAAAACACCTGATCGTGACTTCCTCAGCACAATTCATTCTCTGAGTTCACCCACACTTTCCTGTCAAATGTGTACTTTCATTTTTAAAACATCACATTCACTTTCTTGCATCTGCCTTGCTGTTGAATTCTTTCTTGTGTGGAGACAAGAACCCAGTCACCACTGCTCCAGGTTGAGTCCTCTCTTGGACATCCCCATGAGCCTCTTGTGACACAATCACCTTTTTATCCTGAGCTAACTTTGCATTCTTCAATTGCATCTCATAACATAACTTTATTCCCCATATTATGAGTCATCAGTCAGGGTTCAATCAATAAAAGAAACTACACTAGTTGTTTTTTTTTAATTGGGGAGTTGGAGGAGGAGGACCAGCCAAGTTGTTGTTCTTCAATCCTAGTTGTGGAGGGCGCCAGTCACCATCTGGCTGCCTGATTGCATTCGTAGCCTCTAAGCTCAAGGTGCTGTGTTACAATCTTAGTTGCAGGTGGGCGTAGCCACCATCCCATACAGGAGTCGAACCAGCAGCCTTGTTGTTAGGAGCACGTGCTCTCACCAGCTGAGCCATCCTGCCACCTGTTGGCAGCTCAGCTCTGGCACAGCATCACTGGCCCATGTGGAAATCAAGCCGGTTGCCCTGTTGCTCAGAACTCATGCTCTTAAGCTAACTCTTAACCAACTGATCCACTCAGCCGGCCCCCACACTAGTTATTTTAATGAAGATAATTTAATATAGGTATGATTAAATACTTTTTGAAAGATAAAAGGCATAAAAGAAAAAAATATGATAACACAGTGTCATAACTGGAAGATTGTAGTAACAACACCATAGGCTAAGGATAAGGAGAAAGGTTGATATGTGTGTCCTCTACTGACAATTAGTGGAAGAACCTAAAGAGAAGCCAGATGGAAAATCAGAGCAGCATTTAAAGGTTCCCAGCCCCCATCACAGCATCACAACTTACAGTATAGAAAGGTAAGTTTGGAACAGTAAAAAAATAGCTTTTTTTAACTAATATTTAGCACAGAGAGACAGTTGTAGAGTGTAGAGGGAGAAGATATGTGAAAAAACATTACCAGGAATATGAGAAAAAATCACATTGGCTATTACTAAGGCAAACTCTTCCATATCTTCTCATGAGCTTTGATCACTTTAAGATCTTTAGGATCTGATAATGAACAGTTAAGAAAGAACCCAAGACATACAAGTCATCTTTAAAGAAAAGGTCTGACAAAATTCAATAGTACTCCATCTTAAAACTGTTCATTCTCTTTGCAATCTCCAGTCTAATTAAATTTTATCTATGGTGATGGGGCTCAGATATGAAGATTTTAAAATCTCATCAGATTCTTTTAATAGGAGGCCTAAATTGAGGGCCAGTGAATCACATTCTCTCACACAACCTACATTAATAAATTTGACTGAGCCAAAGTTTTATGGAAAATAGACATGGATGGTGAAAATGGTTCCATCAAATCATGTCTCTCTATCTATCTATCTACCTATCTATCTATTATCTACCTATCTATCATTTACCGATCTATCTACCTATAAACACATACAAAAGAGAATTTTTACAGGATGCCTGTATCACAGATGACAAATACAGAGTATTCCATAGTTGTAATAGGATTCGATTGTGCGGCGATTTTGACATACATAGCACCCCAGAATACTCCCTTAACTAAACAAAGATGTGCCAAAATAAGCAATTTTCAGATATGATAAACCAAGAGGAATGAAAACCATGAACTATGAAAATTGTGTGACTAAAGAAGCATGTTTCCTGTTCCAAATATTTGATTTTTTCAGTCATTTCTACTCCGTAGGCAAAAAAAAAGCCCAAATATAGAGATTGAGATTGAGATTGAGATTAGGATGTTTATCTGAAGAGCCTCTTCATGACCATCTTGATGTCATTGTTCCTCAAGCTGTAGATAAAGGGGTTCAGCATGGGAGTGACTGTTGTGTATATCACCGAGACCACTGCACCCTTCCTGGGAGAGTGTGAGACAGCTGAACTGAGGTACACCCCAAGGCTTGTTCCATAAAATAAGCAAACAACTGACAGGTGAGAGCCACAGGTGGAGAAGACTTTATACTTCCCACCTGATGATGGGACTCTCAGAATTGAGGAAATTATTTTATAGTAAGAAAAAAGGATTCCTGAGACTGGAACACCACCAAAGATGGCCCCAATAAAATAGATTAATATGTTATTGGTGGAGATATCATTACATGCAAGCCTGAGGAGTTGAGAAGGGTCACAGAAGAAATGAGGAATTGCCACACTTGTGCAAAAGGAAAGTTGTGATATCATCAAGCAGTGCAACTGAGAGTCCAAAAGGCCGATCAAAAAAGACATCAGAACCAGCAGGCTACAGAGGCAGGGGTTCATGATGACCGGGTAGTGCAGGGGGTGACAAATGGCCACAAAGCGGTCATAGGCCATCATGGTCAGGAGTACACTGTCCCAGCACCCAAAAATAATAAAAAATGACAACTGAGTCAGGCAGCCAGCATACGAGATGATTCTACCGTGAGTTTGGATGTCCCAAATCATCTTTGGGATGGTGGTGGAAGTGAAACCGATGTCAGCCAAGGACAGGTAGGAGAGGAAGAAGTACATGGGCGTGTGCAGGTGGGAGTCAGAGCTGACGGCCAGAATGATGAGCAGGTTCCCCAGCACGGTGACCAGGTACATGGACAGGAAGAGCCCAAAGAGCAGAGGCTGCAGTTCTGGATCATCTGAGAGCCCCAGGAGCAGGAATTCCAAGACTTGTGTTTGATTCTGTGGTTCCACATTGCAGAGACACCTTTTGGAAAATAAACAAGGGTTGGTATAAATGAAACAAGTATACAGGTACCCATCAGTTTATCTAAATTTTGGATTTAAGCAATCCATAAATAAACTCTTCACACTTAAGAACCATATCCCTTTAGTAATATTTTTCGGTTATGATGTTCTCTTAGAACTCTTTTCACATTGGACAGTAACAGTAACCTGTTACTACATACATTGCTTTGGAAAGAATGAGCTTAGAAAGAATTAGGGGAGCAAAGGTATTTAGAGGTTCAAAATCCATAAACACACTAACCTATCAGTACCCTCCTGTTAAGAAAAGAAAAGAAATGAAAAATATTGTTCTCCCTTAAGGAAAAAAGTGTTCTGTATTAGTGTCCTTAATTAAAGAAAACCAATAAGCAGTCAAACGTACTTTATTTTATCCAAATGTAGTACAACTAACTTCATTGGTTTAGACTATTATAAATTCCATGTAAGATTTGTGTAATAAAGTGTCTCACTTTATTTTCTGTGAGTGATTTTTAGCTACTAACAGTTTTGAACAGCACCTCTCTCTCTTCCCCTTCTGCTCAGCATCTGGGCTAACTGATAAGAAAGCCTGGGTCCTCCAGTTATAAAATAAAGAAGTCATGAAAGTGTAATGTACAGCATGGTGACTATAATTAGTAATGTTATATTGCATATTTGAAAGTTACTAAGAGAGTAGATCTTAAAAGTTCTCATTACAATAAAAATATTGTTTTGTAACTATGTATGGTGGTAGATGTTGACTAGAATTATTGTGGTGGTCATTTGCAATATATGAATCAGTATGTTGTACTCCTGAAACTAATATAACTTTATATGTCAATAATATCTCAATTTAAAAAAGGCTGGGTCCAGGCCGGTCGAGTGACTCAGTTGGTTAAGAGCTCGCTTAAGAGTGCGAGCTCTGAGCAACAACGGTTTGATGCCCAACCTGAGCTGAGCTGCAGCTGAGCTGCCAACAGGTGGCAGGATGGCTCAGCTTTAAAAAAAAAAAAAGGCTGGGTCCTCCCTTCTTTGGTGACAGTGAGAGATTCAAACCTCTCATATGCAGGAACTCTCACTCTGAACCCATATCCTAACCACAATTAGAAAAAACACCAGCCATTTTCCTTGACTTCTCATGCCATTTCAGACCAGCATAGAAGGGCTGCTATGCTCTCTCCAGACAAGGAGATCTTCAGATGAGAAATAAAAGTTTTTATACCCTCTTGTTTGTGTGGCATTTTCAACCTCAATATCCAAGACAAATTTGGGGCTGGGTCCCTCTTCTTTCTGCAGAGCATCCACTACACTTGAAGCCGTGAGTGGGGCACTGAGACAATGACCATGCCCATCGGAAGTCTGTCTTCTCACTCTGGATTTGCTGCATGATGGCAAGCTTGTACAATGGAGAGTGCTGCACTGTACTGCATTTGTTGAGTCTTTCCAATCCTTTCTTACAGATCTAACTGACCTAACGTAGAAGTTTCAATAATGATTGTCCATTAGAGATAAGAGTATGGAATTGGATCTTTCCTTAACGTGGCCTTGGGTCTTGTGTCTTGGCCCAGACCAATCTGTCATCTTACAATGAATATATGAAAGACACTAAGGTAGGGGAATGATTCTTAACTTGATTGGTTGTGTGTTTCAACCAGGCATGGGTCCCTATGGGTGCTCAGGGGAAAGAGTATATAACCTGTGTGTAATATAGGTCCACTGAGTGGTTGTTCACAAAAGAGAAGTCATTACGGGGAGGGGAGGGCGGGGGAGGGGGGAATAAAATGGAGAGGAGAGGAGAGGAGGGGAAGGGGGGAGGGAAGAGGGAAAAAGTAGAGGGGAGGGAAGGAGAGGAGAGAAAGAAATGCAGGCATTACATGACACTCTTAAGAACAGAAAGCTCACCAGGACATTTAAATATCTCTGCTGCTACTGTTGCACATGCCTTAATCTCAGCAAAGACTTGGGTCCCCTTGGTTTTAAGGAAAAGCACTCATAGCACTTCTGTGGCACAGTGAAAGGGTTAATTGAAACCTGATTTAAGTACAAGGTACATAAACCCTATGAAGCAACTGTTATCAAGGTGGTGGTCCCTAACCTTGAAGATACTGATTTGATTCTCTGGAAGAAAGAATTTATACATATGATCAAAATAGAGAGGACCTCCCTTGAAGTATATCCAGTGATAGAAAGAGAAAAGGAGACAGAGAGGAAGAGCGAGAGAGAGAGAGAAAAGAAGAAAAAGAAAGAAACCTGGATATGGGAGAGGAAACAAAAAACTAAAACAGAGGTGTGCAATTTGACCCAGTTGGAAATCCAGAATTTACTGAAAGAATTTATAGAACAAAAAATCAAAGGGCACCGATTGGCTTCTGTATCTCTTAAACATATGTTCTGAATTCACTTTAACATCAGCCAAAATGCACCAATTGGCAAAGTTTCATGTCCTTAACCAATACTGGGACACAAATAACAGTAATAATGAATAATTCCACTAAATTTTAACATCATGCCCTCTATAATCTTAGGGAGGTTCTTGAACATAAAAAGAAAGGACAAACACGTGTGCCTCACATTTACCATTGGAACTATTGTTTGCTGAAATTCTCCATTGTAATAGCACCCACTGCCTTCAAAAATCCCCTAATGGGCACAGACACTCTGACTAAATCACAATTAAATTAAGCCTTTGGCCCTGTATAGAAAACCCTGCCCAGGTTTTCACAACATTTGTGTGTCTTATTTTCTACACAGAACACTTCATTTCTGACACTCCTACTCATGAAATGGGGTGCAGGGGGGGGAGGCATTCCCCCACGTCAAGCAATTCATGACACCAGCTGAGTGTCCTCCAATTTAACTCAGTTCTGACACTCTCTGCCTGCAGTGTCAGACCCCACAGGTTGCCCCCTCCCCCACTTCAGATACCAACTGTAGGTAGTAGGTCCCCAGGTTACTCAAAACTTCTGTTTAACTTGGCTACAAATCAGAGGTTCCCACAACCCCCTCATCCATTTTGAGTAGTCATTATGGGAAGAGTGTTTAGAGGGAAATGACAGAATCTCATTCATTTCTTTAGTCACATGGACATCCCCAGGAAGGATGAAAGCCCAGGTAAGAAAAAAAAAAAGCCTCCAGTGTGTGGTAGCCATACGGACTATGCCGTATTTTTGTAAAGTAACAAAGGGTAATCAATATTTAATAGTTTATCTATTTTTTGTTCAGTTGGTTTGTTTGGTTCATTTTGGTTGCACACTCTGTGCCAACCACAGTGTGAGTGCTAGGGAATCAGAAATAAATGAGTCTCAGTCACTTCCCCACAGGCATTCTGCCTGGAGTGACCTGGAAACAGAAAAGGAAAGGTTGAGTAGAATGGTTGGGAGGTGTTTTTGGTTTGGTTTAATTTTAACATTTTATTTAACATACTATACCAAAAATATTATAATATTTTAGATTCTTTTCTTGTACATCTTTAAAATCTAAAATTTATATTGATAGGACACCTCAATTTGCACTAGCCATATTTCAAGTGCTTGATAGCCATGTGAAACTAAATTGTGTGGAAAGACATTGTTCTGTACCCTGTGTCCTGCGAATAGAATCTCACTGCTCAGATCCAAACCTAACTTCACCCTTTCTTACCCCAGGACAAATTAAATAAGAATACTGTGCTCCACTTGCAAGTAGCTAAAGCTGGTTTTAATTTCAGTTGAATGTTGTTAGCCTCACAATTTGTAATTCTGTGAGATATGGATAACATCTAGGGGTCCTCTCCATACAGGAAACACTAGCAGAAACTCCAGGCTCAGCATCAGTACTAGGAAGTGTTCTTTCTCTCTTCCCACATTCCTAGAACTTGCCTGGGTTTTAGGGCCTTAGAGGTTTCAATTATTCCATTAAGCAACACAACAGGTATATGCCAGAAGATCAATAAATTTGGCCTACACTACAACAGGCTAATTAAAAGTTATAGGAACTTCAGTCTTATCTCCCATCAAGTATAATCCTTGCTTTATCCAGAAAAAGTCACCTAGGGCTTCATGAAGAACTGGTTTCTCACTAACAAAGTATGTATATCACTTATTCCTCCCAACAGTTGGATTTTAGCTCCTAAAATAAACTTAAGTGAATCAATGTTGTGTTAGATTGACATCCAAAAAAAAATACTGTGCTCCTTTCCTCAACTGTAAAATAACAATAATGTGTATAACTCTATCTTGAGGGTATTATGCAAATGAAAATTAAAGCTACATAGCACCTAACTCTGAGCCTGAGACCGGAAATCCTCAATGAAATTTTGGGATATTATGGTTACTTTCCTCACCGCCATCATGTTCATAATCATAGCATTCATGGTCATGTTGGAGTGCTTACGGGATGAAGAGATAATTTCCTTCAGGTATGGGGGATGACTTTGGAAACTAGGAATGGGCGATGACTTTGGAAGCTAGGAATGGTAGTGGAGAAGAGCAGATTCTGAATGAGAGTTCTGAAATTCCTAACAGAAAAAAATAACATAAACATCATAAGCCTCTGAGCTGAAACTTTGCATATCGATGTCCTGCCTTCTGGCTATCTCAGTGGTCCCACTGCCTTGATAATGAGGAAACAAGTTTCTCCATAATTCCTCCTCCATCTACCATCTCCCTTGGCACTTACTGGTCTGTGTTGTATCTCTGCTGGCTCATGACCTAGGTCCTGCCTGGGAAAGGATGAAGGCTGAGGCTCTGTCCTCAGGACTGACAGGGAGACAGACTCAGGCATGGATCTCCTGATGCAGGTGACAACTCTGGAAGGAAGAGACACAGGTATGAAGTTTAACTGGGACTGACTGCCTGAAAGGCTGGAGGCACTGGCTAATTATTTACTCCTGCATAGCCTTGAGTACTCAATCCACAGAGCTCATAATTAGCTAAATTGGTCCATGTTCTCCCAATCTCTGAGGACTTCCTAATAGTAACAGAAGAGGAAAAAAGAGAAACATGAATGGCCAAGCACATTAGACAAGGAGAGACTGAAGAAAGAAGCAGATC